ATTTCAAGTGTTTCAGATTTATGTCTCATCAAATAGACATAACTGTATCGACTGAAATCATCAGTGAACGTAACGAAATACAGATAACCTCCTCTAGCTGGACTGCTCATTGGTCCGCATACATCACTATGTATCAGATCCAATAACTCTGTCGCTCTCTGTCCTTTTCCCTTGAAATGATGCTTTGTCATCTTGCCCATCAAAGAAGACTCGCAAGATTCAAGACTCAAAGTCAAATGAATCCAGAAGACCTTCAGAATGAAGCTTCTGTATGCGCTTCTCGTTTATATGGCCTAGACGACAATGCCAGAGGAAGGTCGTGTTTAAGTCGTTCGGCTTAAACCGTTTAGTACTCACGCTATAGATGGATGATGTAGAGTTCGAAAGCTGATCATTCAAGACGTATAAGCCATTAATTAGATAACCATTACCATAGTAAATATCGTCTCGATAAATCATCAAACTCGAGTTCTCAATCATAAATCGAAAACCATCCAAATCCAGACATGAAATAGAAATAATGTTTCTGCTAATCGCAGGAACATAGTAACAATTACTAAGCTCTAAAACAAGTCCAGAAGGAAGATGCAAATCGTAAACGCCAACACACAATGCAACAACTCTTGCTCCATTTATGACGCGTAGATCCGCTTCTCCCTTAGCTAGCATCCTACTTCTTCTTAGTCCCTGCACATTTCCACAAATGTGTGAGGCACTTCCGGTATCTAATACCCATGAAGATATAGTACAGATGTTAGCCTCTATAACGTGGATACCTGAGGCAGGAGCTTCACCAAGCTTCTTGTCCTTCAGATTCTCCAAGTAAAGGTGACAATTACGCTTCCAGTGTCTAGACACTCCGCAGTAAAGACAGTCACCCTTATCAGGCTTAGGCTTGGACGTAGAGGCAACTTTTGCCTTTTTCGCCACCTTCTTTTTGGCTTTACCCCGCCACTTCTTGCTGGAGCTTTTCTCAACAACAAGCACAGTCTTGGGCACCACGATATCCTGCTCAGCCGATTTCAGCATCCCATGCTGTTCGGCTAAGCTCTTAGTCATCCCATGCATATGATACTGCATCACGAATTAATTATAGTCCTCAGATAATGACATAAGGATCAAGTCTGCAACCAAGTCAGCATCGAGTGTCACTCCCATGCGCTCAAGTTCCTCAACATGAGCTCGCATGTTGAGGACGTGGGTGTTGACAGAGCTGCCTCTCGGCATCTCCGTCTTCACTAGAGCTTTTAGCGTCTTGTACTTTTCAGTACGCGCTAGCTCCTGAAACATGGTCTTGAGCTGTTCGATCATATCAAACACGCTCTTCCCCTCAAACTGCTTCTGCAGATTCGGGGTCATGCTTCCCAACATGAGACAAGAGATC